CACGCACCGTACCTTGATCGCGAGACGTTTTTGACGTGCAATATGCAATTATCATGAAACGTAACGAGAGTTCCGGTGTCACTTTTTTCCATATTCTATAAAAATATTCTCCGGTGGAGAATTCGTGCGAATAAATTCATCATCGTGAAACGAGATTTTTAAGAAAAGATTCTATTTTTCTCGTAATCTTATTTTCGCTCACAATCAAATAAAGGGTAAAAAATATCTTGAAAAATGGCAAATAAATGCACTTAGATTGAGTGAATTTTAAATAAAACGATCTCAATGACAAAAAAAGAAATACGCCATGCTAACTCTAGTCACGACTGCATCGAACGAATGCGGAGTAAGATTGCGTGCAAATAATCATTCGGTATTCTTGTTAAAGAGGGATGATACTGCAATAATTTCTCGCATTTATCCACATTCTTCGTATAATGATTCTCTTCAAACGAGTAAACGCTTGATATTTTTTATCACACGAACATCACGCGCACATTCCGAGCATTCGGTCTCGCGGGGGAAAAAAAAAACGTTTGACAGGCAAAATGTACATCTCGTCATCTCTCATCGCTCTGTGTTCGTTAATCATCCTTTCACAAATTTTCCACTGACGGAACGAGGTTATCCAGCGGAATCGCATAATAATTATCATTTTGGTCCTTTCGGGTTTAGCGCGCACGTAATGTTATTTTAGCATACGGTGGGTCGTCTAAGAATAACAAGTGCACTGCCAATTCCAATTAATCTTCCTAGGATTAGACTCGAGATAATATTCGCGTGTCAGGTATGAAACATACATGTTACGTCGCTTGATCGTCTCCGCCTTGCTTTAGATGCGCGATAATGCTGCTTTTACCTTACCTCGGTCATTATTTCGATAAGGTTGTTACGCAAGGATATAGACGACGAGGGCATGGGGCGAGGGAAAGGGAGACCGTACCATTTTTTAACGACAGCTCGAAAGTAATATCGCATGTGTCGTTATGTTAATAATAATCATCGTTTCTACGATTCCCGTAATTACACCGTAATCACCACGCAAAATGCTTCTCGCCCGAACGCTCGCTTGTCGTGTTCGCTTTACAAGGTTCTGTTATTTTTGAATTCTGGAGCGAGCCGAGCCGTGTTTCCATTAAGTTATATACCGACGCGGAAGGTGTATACGGCGAACGAAATCGCGTGCAAATTATCGTCTTGCGGCGTGCACATAAGGGGTCCTTCTTACCCTTTCCGCAATGCCACCTTGGATGGAGGATGACAAATGGCTGCCCATTAGACAGATTTCCTAATAATCCGTCCGTTGTCCTTGCTTTTCGGCTTTGACAAAAAAATTAATTACCACCGTGTCGCTAGTTGCGATTTCGAATGCTGTCGTTGAAAAGCGACAGCTGACTGTCAAATACGATAATGATTTAGATATGAGGTTCAGAGAGAGAATTCTGTGTATATGTATCAAGACTTCTGTGTATCAAGACTTCGCGAAGAATTCCTAAAGAATTATGAATGAGTAATCTGCGATCACACATATTGCATCGAACTTATTGAGAATTCTTTATCTCTGAGACGGAAATAAGCATTAGGTATCTCTGAAAATTTTTGAAATAAAAAATAATAAAAAATTCAACGATTGCATATTTTGCAAAACTAGAAATCATTGAGAGAAAAGTAACTTCGTGTTTACATTCTGTGTGAACACATTGTTTCTATAAATATTTAGAACTTTTTAAAACTTTGTTTACGTAAAAAGAACAGATGTTTTATTTTTTAGCGCGGATATGTTTTGTAACGCATTTTCCATATATTATGGCCCGGTGAAAGCATTCCCGGTTATGCAATCTCTATTAAAATGTTAACCGGCGTGCGCGCTATGGCAAACGCTCTAGTTTACATTTTCCGGTGCAGTCTGTTTATAAAAACATGACTCGTAAAGAGATCCCTTTTATAGTACAAAGTACATTTTTCGATGATACGCGAACATTAAAGTTGTTTTTTCCAGTTGTTGCGGTTGTAATTATTTACTGGAAGTGTACACTACGTCTTAAGCCATACACATTAAAAAAACAAAACATTATAAAAATAAACGCATCTCTCATCGCTGACATTTACTGACCGCTTTCCTAGCACGTTGGATTTTAACATTAGCTTCACAGACAATAGCTTTAAAGAGAAACCAAATGCTATTTCGCGATACCTGAACGCAACAAAGTAAATGCGTCTAACTTTACGCTACGCGAAATAAATCTGAAAGCATCGTTAATTAACGCCACACGTTAGTTATCTGTGTACCATGTGTACACGTCGGTTGTCTTTCGTCGCCGGCAACACCTGTTGAAAAGTAGAAGTCGAACAAACTTATGAAAACGCACGCAGCCTGACGTTTCATCACGCTGTGAAGTAATTATTTAACGAAGTCGAGCAATTCCGATCGTAATTAATCGCCTTTGAATCAGCCGAGGCTTGCGTTAATTTGCGTTTGCCAATATCTCGCGGGGAAATTCACATCGGCAACGATATGTGTGTATGTGTGTGTGTGTGTTCAGTTTTGTTCAATCAAGATGCATTTTAGGATTTCTCTTCCAAGAGAACAGAACATAATTGATATAACCGGGAATTTTGATGTTTTAGCTTCGCGCGATCATGGCTCCATTTTTTTCACTATGCATAGATAATTACAATTCTCTATAAAATATAAATTACGTGGCGTTTTCTCGTTCTCTTCGCAGAGGAACGAGAGGGAAAGAGTGGCTGTTTGTCCATTCCTCGTATTCTGAACGGAATTTAATGTCAATGATATATGCTATCCGATCATTATCTTTTTCATAATAATATTTCAATTTCCCTGATTGAAATAATTTAACGAGAATGCCATTCGATCTGGTTCAATTTTTCAAGCATCGCAACATATATGTTGCCTGCCACACAGATTTCCGTCAATTATCATTGCAATAATTGCATTTCTACAATTATTGAGGACCCAGTGATTGTCAATTGCGGGCAACATTAATCCCTCTGGTCATCCAATATGTCATCAGTGAGATGATATGGATATTCCCAGATATTCCATAATGAACTGTTACGTTATTGTCTTGGTAAGCATAGAGGCAATCAGATAATCAGGGCTGAAATTTGCGAAAATGTCAGAGAAGATTTGTTGCTAATTGGAAGTGTCACTAGTATTTAAAAGGATATTACGAAAATTCTACATTATATCGCACTTGATGGAATTAAATACGCATTGGCATTTATACGCGGCAGAAACGGTGACGAATAAATGGTGCAATAGGTGAGAAATTTTCGCAAAAGAATTTCGCGAAAGTGCAGGACCAACATCACATTATTTTTGTCCTGCGAAACGGGACCGAACTTTGCTATTGAAACTCCAATTTTTTTCTCTTCACGTCCCTGCTGTGGAACATACTTTTTTATTGCACGGCTATAAATTTAAGAGGGCTTAGCGTCGTGGTTTAATTAAACTATTTTAGCCGTCATTCCCTTGCTCTAAGTCTTCTACTGTTCCTGAATCGATCGGATATCTTGGTCCTATAATTTTCCTTATCACTTATCTGGCTTATAGAATGTTAAATTAATTTTTGGAGCGCGTATTATCTACAAAACGTCACGTATAATTATAACATGCACGATACGAAATAAGCTTAAAGATGATATTGAAGCTTTTTAATAATCAATCGACAAGACTTCCTGTTGCTATTCTAGCTGTGCCAAGTAATCGATAATGTAGAAAAAATATATGATATTATATTTTTAGTTTTACTATGTCATACATTACATTACTTATCGTCTGCAAACAGCAAAACAACAACAAAATAACATTAGCTCTTTGACATTTACAACTTTATTACATTATTTTTTGTTTGTACACTTGAATAATTCGCGAAGGCTTCGTTTCCGAATAGTATTTACAGAACTGATGTATTTTTAGAAACGTTTCTTTTTTTTTACTAGAAAATAAAAGAGCTTATTAATATCGTGCGAAAGTAGTTTCAAATCTAAATATTCAAAAATTATATAAAATTTAAATTAATTTGATGATGCCAAATAATAAAAATCAAAGATTGTTAGAGATTAATTTAATTGTTCAATTGTGTTCTTTCAAGAGAGCTATCCACTTTTATTTTACCCTATCTTTAAAACTGCGTATGTGTGCCGTCCGATGAATACAATTACGACCACGTAATGGCGCGAGAGATTTTAATCACGGAACGGTGTTCCTATCGCTAATGATATGCATCGACCTCGCGCGATCACCTCGTACCTCAGTCGGATTAAAATTCCTACAATTATGATTTACATTGTAGATCCGACTGCCCAGATAAAATAACACGCTCGTACGTTATTTTAATTTTTAAATACAGTTGTTACAGCATCGCGACACGATGCACGCAGCGATCGTGACGTCTCAAGGACAGTTTCGGCGGGTGCGAAGTGCCCGATTAATTATGGGACATCGGAGAAGCCGCTAATGATATTCAGAAGCACCTTTCCATTTATATCCCCCTCATCGACTAACGCCGTACTCGAGTTTCGACGAGGGGAAGAGAGACTGAAACGCGGTCGAGCGAAACTTCCTCGGATGAGGTCGACGGTAATAATCCGCTGTTTAAAGTTTCCAACAGCCCCGTGACGAGGGACCGTGAAGATTTGATTTCATTCGTCGCGTCACGACCTTTGACCCGCGGGGCCGCCACGAAACTTGGAGAACACCTTAATCCTCTCGAAACAGACAAATTGTATCTCTTATTCAAAGAGTATCAATAATATTTAATTCATATTTAAAAAAAAAAAACAACAATTGATACTCCATTTTTCTTAACTTTTGCATGATCCACAGAATAATACATCGTGCACGATACTTGAAGAAATTCGATCGATTATTATTGAGGCCACAGGAACGATACACCTTCGCCTCCTCCGAAAGGATTAAATCCCAGCTCTAAATCAGGTGTAACTAGTAGACGTAAGGGGGGCGCATTACTCACTTGGCTTATCCAGCTCGGATAGTTCCGAGTACGCCGTAGCGGCTCCCAAGACCAGCATCACCAGCACCGTCGTCGTCACGACACTCCACCACCGCCACCTCCACCACATTTTGTCTCCCTTTCACGCGCACTACACACACCCTCGACCCCCCTGGAGGTCGGCGCGGCACCCTGCGCTCCCACCTCCTTTAGTCGTTACGTAGTCTCGCGACCGTAGCGAGCCGGCACTAATTGCAACCCCCGACGCTGCTGCCGCTCTCGTTGCCGTTGTCGTTGCTGTTGCTTCTGCCGCTGCCGCCGTCGCCGCCGCTGCTGCTGCTGCATTGCGCCTCCGTCCACATCGTCCGTTCCTCGTCGTCGTCGTTGACGTTGCCGCCGTGAACCGATATACGAGTCCCCTATCTATCTTGTCGGTCACGTACTTGTCGTCATTTAATGAGACGGCGACTATTTGTCTTTCCAGCCTCCCGAGAACAGGACACGGGACCTAACGATGTGTGTTATGACCATTCGGTGTTTTCCATCTTATGTCACCGAGATGCGAGATTCTTCCTGGTTAAAGCGGCTCTCTACGACTCGAGTGCGTTCGATTGATTCCTGCAGGAGATGCGATTCTTGAGATGAAGAAGGCGAGTTAAAACTTGATTCGCTCGTTTCTCGTGATATAATCCTCTGGTAAATTTGTCGCTGTCGTAGAATTTCCCGGGGGTGTGTCGAACGAGCGGATGATCGCTGGATTTACCGGATAAACGAAAACGTAAGGGAACGAAGCTCCTTCTGACAGCCTCTCTAAGCGGCGATTATAGTTTTATTGTCTGCATCAGGGCGGATTGCAGGCCGTTTCCTTCGGATTCCGAACGTTTCTGTCCCTGTCGCGATACCCACTAACGCGTTCGATCGCGTGGTAAACCTCCGTGGAATGGAATAAAATATCGGCCGGGTCGCGACTAAACTTGCAAAGTGGATTCGACTTGTCTTGAAATTCCGGCTGTCGAAACTTCAGTACGATATACGTCCAAGCGCAACTAGGTTGCTAGCCTGATAAATTTTCAAAATACTTGCAGGATTTACGCCGTCCTCGTTTTCGATGCGATCGTATTTTCTCTTCTGCAACATCTAATCAAGCATGCAATATTGTTTAAAAAAAAAGATTCAATCCGACAAACAACTTGGAGAAGAAAATTACGTCAATTTCTCCTGAATTATATGAAATAAAATTATTTGTTCGAAACCTTTTTATGATAAATTATGAAGCTCTTCGTCTTCTTGGGTATTGAGGGTTACGCGAATGTTGGAAATCTCGAAATAAGCGAACGCTTATCGATCGCGGAACAAATCGTCGTTTTGCCACACTACTGATTGTACTTTCGGTTATATTTCACCCTTACGTTCCGACACGTCGACCTCGTCAAGTAGCAGCCAATATCGAGCGGTCACCCGCGTGCGTAGGAAATTGCGGACTAAGTTAATCACGATATCGACATGTTAATTCAAGTGCGACGAATAGTTTCAGCTGTAACGGAACGCCAGTTAACCGAATAGCGCCCCGCACAGCCACCAGATCTGCGATGTTCATTCGGAGCACAACGTGCTCCGATCGAGAACTTTGATTTTCCGCACTTATCCTTCCCTCCCCCAGCCCTGCGGCGATACACCCACCGAGCACGTGCGTTAGGGACGCACTCGCGAGAGAATCTTGCGCGCGAAAATCGAAGATTTCAGAAGTAACATTGAACGGAAAGAATCGTGCGAAATTCACTCGCGTCAATTAATGTCAACCGATCGCGTTTAAATACCGGCGAGATCTCGGCGGATCGCAACTTCCGGATCATCGATCGGCATCCGCGAGGCACTCGATCCCGCGATCGATCGATCCGCGCGCTCTCGCTCCGATTTTGATTCATGAATCATTCGCGCGTCGCGTAACCGACGTGAAAACGGCACCGGCGACGAAACTCCCCCGCGACGAAGCCACATCGAGCCCTGACCCGCGGCGGCTCGGTACTGAAGCCATTGAATAACGCGAGGAACCCTCGCGAGTCGTTTCGGCTCGCTCCGTCCTCGCTCGGTCAGCCTCGGGCACGCTCGCGCCGTACGTTCCATGGACCCGGACTCCCCCCATGCTTTCCATCCTCCTCCCGTTCACTATCTCGGCGCGTTTCGCTCTCGAGACTTCCATGCTCGTTCCTACCATCTCCCTCTTGATCGCGGGGAACGCTATGATTTACCGGCGCGGCTAATGAGTCGCCGTAATCGCCGCGCGGTCCAGGCGCGGATGCGTGAACGTAAGATTTTCGACAGGAGAGAAGGGAAGTCGGTGGTGGGACGGAATGCCAGGGACGTTACGCTCTTACGATTCTAATGAGAGCTCGCGGTGGGAGAGGAAAGTCTCGTGAAAGAATCAAACTACTCTCTCGGGACGTAGATTTCATTTCAGAAAACGGATAGTTTCTAATTAAACGCGTCAGAGATTACCTTAATAATAATCTGACTGCTCATATTATTTATTATGAAATTTCAGACCTTTCCCGAAGACTCGTGGGAACTTGTTGAAGGAGAATATTTTGCGCATAACGATAAATATGTCCTCGTAAAATAGGAGCACACGTACTTACGTCACACGAAGTGTGTTCATGAAAACTGATAGTTCGTGCGTACCCAGTGCATGCACGAGATAACCGCCCTCGAAGCTTCATGACTCTCTCTACGAGAACTCGCTCCAATCACGATAAATTCCGGCTTTCGTGTTTCCATCGCTATCGGCAATCGCCTGCAAATCACTTCCTAATCCTCGAGTAGGTATCTAGGAAGATACCTTTGCTAAATCCGCTTTGAATATCTAAGCATGTCCCTATATAAGCAGTATCCTATATATCGTTATTTCCTTATTTTTTTCAATCTTCTATTTTTATTTAATATTTTGACAGTTAACACGAATATCAGCCTTTTATTAATACTCAATTCTATGTAATATTAGACGGAATAATTTAATATTCCTGCAATTATGAATCATATTTTGAATCATATTCAAAACTCTCGTCGTGTTCCAAATATTCCATCACTTGCACGCGTTGCGAGATATAATTGTATAAAAACCATTGATAACTGACACGATTGATTGATGAGTGAGGACTAATCCTTTAGCGATTTATTACTATATTATTAATCGACGAATCAAAATGTGATCATATCGAGTGATATTTTACTTCATACAAGGACATAGTAAATTTATATATAATACAATGATAGAGAAAATGTAATAACATTTATGCGCTTTAATTATACCGATATCCGAATCTATCATAATTGACGAATGCGATAATTTGAATGTTTCCTATTTTTGATAGAATTATACATTTTATTTGTTAAAACATTTATCTAACATATACTCAAATAGATGTTACATTAACTATTACTGATAATATGTAAATTAAGCACTACGATTTTCATTACAATGCATTTAAATAATCAAAAAAGCGAAATATATTATTTAGAGGACACAACTAATCCAATCAATCTTAAGCGTAGTGAAATTAAATTCGATTCTCGGGTCATTGATCGAAGATGCCCCGGTAAAGCTAAAAATATTTCGAGAGAAAAAAATATTTAATTAAGAGTAAAAGCAATAGTATGGACATTCTTGGCATAATACATTTATTATGCCTTATACAAAATATATTTATTCTTTATTTTTACAGATAAATATCAATAAAGTTGTGGCCTCGATTTCTCGAAATCACCTTTAGTAATATATTTCATTTACTTCCTTTATTCCGCACAATATATATATATATATATATATATATATATATATATATATATATAATCGTTAATCTAATATTTTTCGTATTAATACGATGCGTGAACGTGTTAGCTAAGCCTTAACATAAAAACCGATCATTTATGTATCGAGTTAAAGGTAATCGTTCAAAGAGACGCAATCGGCAGCCCTCATCTACTACACCCACACACGAGGGCTCGTTGCGCGCGCTTCGTTTCATCTCGAATCGCCGATATTTTACATCGAGCACAGAGCCTGCTTTCATGGATGCCCGGCGAATTGGAACTCGACACCGCGTCATGCATCATGGTACATTGTCGGACACCCAGGCTGTTAACCCAAAGCGTAAGCTGGATACGATGTTATAGGCTTCCCTATGTACTCTTCGACTTGTCGAATAAACCATAAAGCCTGTCAGTCACACCGTCCTCCTACTCGTCTTGTCCCGACCACCAACGCGCTCGCATCTCTCAATAGGATCGCGTAATCCGAAAATCGGGTTTTATCGTCGTTTGACAGGTGCAAAGGCGATCGATTATACCGCGGAATTTGAAAGAGCGGCGAACTCCAATTCGGAATATCTTAATTGCACGCCCTACCGGTGCTTTGATAACTCGTTTAATTCCCCGCTTTAATGACGACGACGGAAGCGATCGAAAAAGGTGTAGCCCTTTTCTTTTTGTTATTTAACTTTCTAGAGTTTTTTCATTTATATCGACTATAATAAGTTTAGTTGCTGCCTTGTCCTCTTTTGAGATACGCGAAATTTTTTATCCATTCTATAATTTATTTATACATTCTGTTCACATTCATTTATATATTCTCTTTTTCATTGATATATTCTGTTACATATTCCGTTATAATTTATTTATATATTCTCATTTATATATATTCTTATCAATATTTTTTAATTATTTGTTGAGAAAAATATTATCGTACAAAACATGTATAAAAAAAATTAAATTTTTCCCCTCATGTTGGCGATTGTCGAGATTTTGTGAGAGCAGATTGCCGTGGGAATATACGACGAAATATTCATTCAAGCTTTATGCATCTCGGTAGGAAATCGTGCGATTTAGCCATGTGCTCTTATCATAGCGTTTAACAAATAATCTCGACATTCGCCCGACATTGCGCCTCCCACCGCCTATTGTGCTCGCAAATCACTCGCCCGCTAAGACATCCGCGTGAATAATGGTCCTGTGTCTCTTATTACTGCGATTTTCGCAGAGTCACAATAATATCGCCCTTTCCAGCCATGGACGCGGTGAAAGAACTCAGATTCCGAAAATCTCCTCCGTAGCAAGTTGAAGAGGCGAGCATCGAGCTTCTGTTCGATCATAAGCGCGTCATTAATCACCGGACTAATGGCTCTCGCTATTTCCACTATTGTCGCCATTATCGGCAAAATCGATTGGGGAAATGGAAAATCGCTCCGTTCGTTTGTTTCGCCCGAAAGAAACGAGCGGGATGGCTAAGTAGAGGGTGAGAAACACCTCGATGGTCCCGGTAACGGTTAACGGTGGTGCGAGATGGTGCGGAGTGTAACGCGGGGTCGCGGACGAAGGGGAAGGGAAGGGACTCTAGAATTTATGCCGGTGTTTACGCGAAGTGGATGGCGTTCTACGGTAGGTAGGTAGAGAATAGTTATTACGATCGCCGGAACACACCACGCCGTCTTTCGTCGGAGAGGAAAATTCTGTGCCCCCTTCCACGGGTCCGTTCATTCGGACACATCGTCCGTTTGTATCTTGCAGCTCTATGCGATTTCTCTACTTCCTTCCTCCCGGAACGACGGGGACGATCAATGGGGAGAGAAATAGACGAGAGAAACGGCGAATCGGCGAATCGGCGAGGATTTCCGGAATTACGGGCGGACAAAGTTTTTCTTAACTTCCAGGGGACCAGGTATGTCGTGGTATAAGCGAACGTTCTTGAATATCCATTACTCCGTGCAATTTCTAGAATCCCCTCGGCCGCAATCAGAAGAGGAAAATGACTACCCTAATGCAATTTTACGAGATTCCCGCCTTTTGCGTTCGGAAGTTTTCTGATTTAGCGCTGAATGTTCTCGGACGCTGTATTCCTTTGGCTTTTAGTTATGAGCTGTTTTAAAATGAATTATCAGTATGAACCGCTAGCGGAACGGACGTTATTGAACCGGGCCGTGGTAAAAGTTATGAATTACTCCTAGAGAAGTAGCGAACTCTCGGACGAACTTTTGCGAAGCCGAAATCAAGTTTAACATCAACCTACGCCACGTTTCCCTGGGATATCACTTCCGACACTAGCCGCCACATGCTAGTGTGAGTTTCCGCTTTCGCCGAAAAACCTCATACATCAAAATTTATTGCCGCTTTATGACTTATATTTTGCCGTAACTCTCGAAAACTACGGAAACTTTACACCAACCATTACATAATTATTTACAATCTAATATTTAAAAGAGAAAAAATTCGTAGTCCACCGCGCGATATAATTTACATTACGATATCGAGATGAAAAATTCAACGAGCGTCATCTTTACCGGTTCTCGCAAGCCGAGATTATTATCGCACGATTGACCTGAAATATTTGAGCGTCCACTCTTTCATGTTTGAGTAACCTACGGCGAAAGGGGCCTGCCAAAAAGGTGCGAAAGGCGGGAGATGCCGCGATCGTCTCACGAAAAAGAAAAAAAAAAGGTGTCCGGGCAGCGATAATGGACGACAAGGCGTGCAACGAATATCACGTCTTTCGCACGAAGCGAAATCTGCATCTCCGTTACACCTGAGCCGCTACACATGGGAACCCCATGGACAAACTACGCATTATGCAGATGACGCGTTGTCCGATGAACGAAAATCACGCAGTCTTCGCACCTTTGTCCCGCCTCCGTCACGGCTCTCGCATTTTTACGAAGAAAAAACAGAATTGTCAAGTACTTCATGTGTGTCTCGCATTCCGTATATTCCGGCTGTTCGATGGGTAATTTGTTTTTCCTTCGAAAAATATAAATTCTCGAAAAAACTATCGCTTGATAAATATCGATCGACACGATACATTGTGTATCCGTACAGAATGGTTTAAGCTAAATTCCCCGAGGGATTTTATTTTAGGCAATTTTTATTTCCATGTTTAATATATAGATTTTCACCGATATTATTTTCATCAATAACCTTTCGAAATATGTTTGTGCTACATGTTGCAAAACAAGGGAATCAGCG